TTCATATTAATAAGCATCGGCCTGAAGTACTTTCTCAAAGACGAGGCACAACCTAATCCAATGTTCTTTCAGTCTAGTCCAAAGCTCATGAAACTGACGCTGCCTCACAACAGATTTGGAGATCTTTTTGAATTGATTGATGTGACGTCTGCAATAAAGTGTCTTTAATTTTAATCAATGTCAGCCCACTACTAGAACGACTGACCTTTAGTCAAGCATTAAATGCAATGAGTTGACAGTGATGTGAAGCTTCAATTTAGGGGATGTCGCCACGTGGACTTGATCCGATGATCATCACGTCGGCTAGAAAATTATAAATAGTCACTCTCTGTATAGAAAAATGGGACGATGGATTGATGTAGATAATAGACAAACACATGCTTATACAAACACTTGAACTCTTATTGAAAAGAAGAGAACTCATCTACTCATCATATATATCCTTCCGCATATTTCATTATCATTTTGTTTAAAGGGTATAATTGATAGTGTGATTGTCCTGGAATCATATCATCGGAACCTCAACATATTTGTCTCTCGCCGGAAAGTACCTCCCACGTTCACTACAGTTGGATTACCGTTTCTATTCCGGTAAAAACGTGCTGGATCCGTACTGACGCGGCGAGAGTGGGCCCGACATCTGTTGAGTTCATTTTTTGGGGTTGACATTTTCAATTCTTGGCATTTTTTTCGATTGATTTTAGTTTATTTTAAGATTTATATTTTTTGGTTAATTTGGATACGTGCTTCTTTTTCAGTTGAGTGGTTCTGAATAAGAATTTGTTCCATTACTCTCTCTCTCTCTCTCTCTCTCGGTTATTTTAGTTTGTAAATTTTGGTTAATTTTTGCTGTGCGCTCCCTATTCAATTGTTCCTTTTTTTATCTTCTTAATATTAGCTCATTATTTGAGAAAAATTATGTTTTGAATAATGATTTTTAGATGAATATGTCATTAAAAGGTAGAGTACATTTGAATTTACGTACAGAATATTTTATTGCGTAATTAAAAGTGTGCACGTGGAAAAAACTTTTATTTCGGAGTTTCACTCACCTAATTATGAGGAATTGTGACCTTTTCCCTGGTTTGCCACTTCGATAAATACGATACAGTCATAATTTATAAACACTTGGACCAAACATTCAGAATGCGATTCTTCTGTTTGTAAGCCCTCTTTATGTTATGTGGAGGACCCTGAAGAGGAGCCAAATGCACCATGATGTTATCTTCACATGATATGCCTTTCAATATAAATGTTGTTTTTCAGCTGTTGTGCACCTTGACTTTATCTTCACGGGATGTCTTTCAATATAAATGTTGCTTTCCAGCTATTGCAGAGATTCAAATCTTAGACACTCCATTAAGAAAACCCTACCTTACTACTGCATCAAGTGAGGCCTAACATAACCATTTTTAATTAGAACCATTAGGAGAAGAATTTAGAATTAGCCATACAAAAGTCCACAGGACACATCCCCAAGTGGTAAAAGGGAAACGTGGAAAAACTATAGCTTTACTTGAAGTTGTCGTGTCAAAAGTTCGAATCCTGAAATATGGATTTGACTATTGTGTAAGTATAAGTGTACCCTTGAATGTACAACCTGCGATGCGAATTAGAGTATGCTATTCATCTTTTTTTTTTTTTCTTTTATATAAGAATTAGCCATACAGAAGTACCAAAGCAGAGCCGCATAAGACAAATTCCCTGCAAATGAAGTTGGTAATTGCACTAATCTTTTTTCCTCGTTAAGAAATTTCGTCTTGTTCCTTCAGGCCATAGAAATTTCCTCAAGAAGTTCAAGAGTCCTTCCCCTCCACTAAAATCCCAAGTTTTGACGATAATTCAATTTCATACTCGATCATATATGTGTACATATATAGGGAGAAATAGGTTGCAGAAACGACGGCCCGATGGAGGAAGAGAACAACGCGATGGCGGCTTCATTGACTGTGAGCGACGCTTAGCTATCTGCAACCATGTGCATCTTTGAGCTCCCAGTGGAGCCAAAAACTTGTTCACGAAAATATGTTTCGAATAAAATCATCGCAAGTGTACGGTTCGTTGACAAGTAATAAAGTGAAAATCCTAGAATTTCGAGTATCGTTCCCACGATGATTGATTTAACTTGAGTTCTATTATTACGACCTTAACCGAATCTATTAAACTCAATATGATTATTTTTGTGAATTTATGATGAAACTATGACTAATCTATAAATTAAACTAAAATTATGAATCAAATGCAAAAGTAATGTTTGAATG